AAAAACCTCTTTAATTGGAGTTAGGGGTAGAAATTGAAAACAGGGAACACCCTTAACTTTTTTTTTATTTTTTTTTTTTAAGAAAACTTTATTTTATATTATTTGGGCAGTACATGATATACAAAAGTTACATTAATAATACATATAACACACAATGAATAAATATATAAATAACATAAAGAGAGCACGTTTATATTCCAATGAGACTCAGTTCGGTCACAGACTCAAAACGCCCCATGGCTGAGTCTGGGATTTGTCCAGGGTTTTTCTTCTCCTTAGTTCAGTAAGTATTTGTTTCACGATGGTGCCACTGTTTATGATCGTCTGATTTAGTATCATATTGCACCTTGTTTTCCAGATTTTCATACATGTTATACAAATTACCGGCTGAAATAGTTCCCTGTGTTTATTGTCCATCCCCTCATCCAGAATACAATACATGATTGAGATATATTCTACATTGAACTCTAACCCGATGCCCCGTAGGAGCGACCACACCTCCTGGGCTCTGTAGCAGTCCATGAGGAGGTGCTGTAAAGTCTCGTCCTCCTCACAGTTAACCATGTTTTAGTTTTCACATAGCAGCTCCATGAAACCACAGCTCTGACAGCAAGTCTGTTGACTGATATCAGCCACCTCACGTCTCTCATGCTCTCCGATAACTGTTTACTTTTGACTAATTTCAAGACTTCGTTACCTTCGTCAGGTGTTAGGTTTTTGTATGTTATAACACCTCCATATTTGAAATCGTTTATCATTTTAAAATTACTCTATTCGGTAGTCCGATCCAATCAATCTCTAAATGCTGAACTTCTGTTGTGAAGTCACCATAAACGAATTTGTAATAGGGTCCATTTCTAGCTCTGCCCCTTCTTTTCTTCCATCCCATTTCTCCATCCTCAACCCAAGGTGCTTTCCTATCGATTGCAGCCGAGATGTTTTTTACAAAGGTAATTGTTAGTTGAATGCCCAGGTCTATGGCTCCCAGGCCTCCATATTCCCTACTTTTAAATAACAAATTACGTTTAGCAACCTCCCTTGTTATACCCCACACCAAATTGACACTGTTTGTTTAATTGCATAATTATTTGGGCTGGTGGGGGGAAGATGTTTGCTAGAAAAAGGATCTTGCTAAGTATGAATGATTTTATTATGTTTATTCTTGATTTATAATTTGTGTTTTTATTCTCCCAGTGTTTAACTTGTTCTTTGACTTCACTTAGTTTGTTCTCCCAATTTAATTCAGCACAGTTGTCGCTACAAATAGTTATTCCAAGTATTTTAATTTCTTTTTTCACTTGAATGTTTGTCGCATTTGGCATCGTCGGTGCCGATCCAAACACCTTCAGTGTTGCTGTGGTTTAATTTAGCTCCTGATGCCAATTCATATAGGTTTAGGTGGTTTGTTAGAACATCCATTTCCTGTTGGTTTTTTATTATAACAGTGACATCGTCTGCATAGGAGATGGCAGTTATTTTGGGCGCATGGCCAACTGGTGTTCCTGATATGAACCTGTCATTGTTTATTATTCTAATTAATGGACTCATGGCTAGCACGTACAGAGCTGCGCTTTGAGGGCACCCCTGCTTAACCCCTCTCTCAACATGAATTGCATTTGTCAACACACCGTTTACATTTACACAGACACAAGATTTAAAATACAGACACTTAATCATGTTTATGAAGGCTTCAGGAAATCCGTAGGCCTTCATCACCGACCATAAGTAATCTCTGGATAAATAGTCGAAGGCTTTTTTTTGTATCAAGTCCAATAATAAAAAAAACTTTTTCTTCTTTTGGCTTATTTATGATTTCTCTTAAAATTGATAAGTTGTCCCATAAGGCGACCTTTTATAGCACATGTTTTATCTAATATATCTGTTAATCTATTCATTATTATTTTTGCTAGTATCTTATAATCAGTATTCATTATAGTTAAATGTCTGTAATTATCTATATCAGTTTCATAGTTTTTTTTATATAGTAGAGTCAAGACACCTTCATAAAATGAGTCCCCCATACAACCACTGCTGAGACCTTCATTAAACATAGAGGTCAGTAAGTTTAAAACATCATCAGATAATAGTGGGCAGGCCATCAGGACCGGGCTCTTACCGACATTCAGCTCTTTCACCGCCTGGATCACCTCATCTTTGCTAATTTCACCGAGAAGGAAATCAAATTCCGTTTCAATGTCTATTTTTTATATGCTTCGAAACATAAATCTCTTATCACTTCTCGTTTCTGTTTTTCATTATACACAATACAACCTTCTTGATTTTTTATACATTTGATGAATTTACTTTGAATTTGCTTTTGGTTGGTTTTAATGGCTTGAGCCAAGTTGCCTCGTTGATCTATTTCAGATGTTGTATGAATATTATATAATGATTCCTGGTTTAATTGATCCATTTCAGTTTTTAATTTAGATATATTGTCTTCTACCGTTTTAGTTTTAACTTTAATCTGCTTTAAATTAATATATTGTTTGTTTAATGATTCATATTTAATATGTTTTGCTTTATTTAATTCTCTACATTTAAATTTGAAAAAACGTTTTAACCTAACGCCCTTAACCAATCCCAGCCATTATAACCTGCTAAGGGCTGAGGTGGGGGGGTGAAACAAAGATACACAAACACTCTCTATGAACTTAGAGACTTGTCTCTTCTTATTAGGGGGCTTGAATAAGCGAGACACTCACCCCTCCTGGTCTTACGAAAGGATAACACTCATAGAAGACTTTCAGCACCGCGGACAGCTCCTTTCACTCTCTCGCTCTTTCTCTCGGGCTGCGGTTGAATAGCCACAACAAATCAGGTCCACTCGATTTGAAATAAATAACAACGTATTCAATACATGCATTACTTGATAGGTTGTCTCAAGATAACAACACACAACTCTGTCAAACTTGATGACTTTATTTGATCCTCTTTTCAACAGTTAGGTCCAAAGTTCGTATTTTGGTTTAACATCTTGTTTAAAAGTTCAAAACGTATAAGCACTTCGGTAAGACAGCCTACTGCATAAGAGGAAACATTCTCAATAAGCACCAGAAACGTTCATGATTAGCATTGTTGGTCTCGATCTGTATTTTCTATGAATGGCCTAATGGTGCATCACTTTGAATGTTTGGGCCCGTGGAATTGTGGGACAGTATTTTCTTAACATTGAAGCTCCTTCCCTATCACCTAGAGAATCTAAACAGCTCTTATCATGGCTGCAACTGAAGTACTTCCAAGTCATTTCACTACATTAGGGGGAATCTTCCGAAGCAAAAAAAGCCTCTTCGACCGTTAGTCTCTCCTTCAGTCTCTTTACACTTCTAACTTTTACCCATGGGGCATTCTGCCACCCTCGTCCAAGTAAATGTCTGACACGCCTGAGTCAACAGCAGCTCTGCCCTGAGGATCACCTCGGTCAGTGATGCCTGTAGAGCTCCTCCTCTCTGTCTGTGCACATGGCTCAGGTGCTGTCACACACTCTGCTCTGTTGTTGCTTCTTTTCCTGCTTGGGAGGGCTTTCATTGAAGCAAAAAATCCTCTTGAATTGAAATCTTCTTTGGCTTCTTTGTTGACTGAGAAGCTGCAAAACATTGCTGAATGTCTTTGTGTTGCTATTGTTAATGTTGTTGCTATTCCACCGGCGGCTCAGTGAGACAAATGTTTTTACTGTGTGATGGGAGTCTCGCCACGGCAACACCATGAACGCATATTTGGAGCATTCACCCCATCATTTGATCCGTTTGTTTGCGTAAGCTTCCCAGACTGTGGCAGCACTTGAAAGACAGGAAGAAGTGAAATTGATTCAGGGAGACGGAGTGTGTGCCTCGTGTTTTACATGCTCCTGTGACTTTGACAGCTGCAGCATACGTTTCATTAATCTGTGTTTGTGCGTGTGTGTACTAATGTCAGCTGCTGTTGTTGTTGTTTCTACTGATTGTTTTCTTTCATCAACCGAGTTAGATTTCTCGGTGTTGTGCTCGAACAATGTTGTAAACAACAAATGTGTTTTTAAAGGTCAAAGCGAGATGAATGGGAAAATGAGAGTATGTGGCTTTTACCTGGTAAAGTGGTTGCATTTTCAAAAGCCACTTTTTAAGCAGTGACAATAAAGTATACCCACAAATGCTGATATGTTCATAAACAAATGGATCACATGACACCCTTTCCCCCTTGTTTTCCTACTGCTCTCATTAGTATACTTAGTGAAAACGCTCAAATGAACCTGTTTAATCGAAGTCTGTTTACAGGTTTTTGTTGGTACTACTTCCTCAAGTGATGTCACTCGAGTCACTTTGTTTCAAGGGATTTACAGATTTCTATTTTTGAATATCTTCAGGAAAAAGTATGTTTGCGCTCAATTGCATCATGTGATAAACCGTCCATCGTCATCAATATGGAGTGCAATGGGTGGACTTAAAGGATCAACACTGTGAGCTGCTTCCCCCTAGTTGCCAAAACTTTCGTTAATGCGCTTTTAATATCATGATATTCATTATGGTGATTTTCTTCTTTACTAATAGAAAACATCTCTTTAATATAAATCCCAAAATAACTCATTCCAAATAATCCTTACCCCTGTCGGAAACCCCTGTTCCTTCATATCATCAATGCCACCTGTCGATCACTGTTTGTCATGTTATTCACGATCATCTTAACAATGACACGACATCTCAAACGATCATACCGTGTCTTTTCTACATTGTTATCTTTCTAACTTCGCAATCTGTTGGTGCCTTAAAGATATCTACTTGCTATCTTCTGCTTCATCCTTCTACGCCGTTTGAGTTGTGTTTTTCTTTGTCATTTCCTCATCCTATTCTTATTTTCTTTTGGTTTATCTGTAATTATGTTGATAACGTTTTTTTTATTCATCTTGTAATCCCCATAAACCAACTGAAATCGGCTTTTGCTGCTCAAATCAAACCACGCTTCTCATGATTTATTCATCCATCTTTTTCAGTCTAAAGCACCTTTTTGTTCTCTCAACATTGCAGGTCACTATTCACCCTGGAAGACCCCCAAGCAGGTAACATCCACCAGCCCCCAGAACTCGGACTGTCTGCTTCCTAATCATTAATAAACAATTCTAACTTCAAATGGCTGCAGTATGCATAACATATGTCCTAATCAGACTGTAATCTCTTTATTTGACTCATTTGTAAGATGTCTTAATGGCTTGTCAACCCCTCCCTCGCTGTACTAACTCCACTGATCATCCACAATGTGTCCACGCCTTTTACAATAGCTATCCCTTAATATTCCTCTTTATCGTCACAGGATTAAAAAAAGGTCAAGTGTCCGCCTCATAACATCACATGTCCTGATCCCGGGAGTCTTAGACTAATTTATAACCCGAGTCAGTGCCATCAGGGTCACCAGCTCTGAGGGCAATTGAATAATGCTGCAGCTAAAGTGCTGCTAAGCCTCTGTTCTAACTGCTTTGGCATGACCCATATACATTCATCCCTCTTTTATCATCTTTTTATAACCATTTTTCAAAAGCTTTTTGCACTTTCATAGTAGCCCCCCCCCCCCCGGCTGTTTATCCATCACCTTGCCATTGTTTTCCTTTTGTCATATCAAGCTAAAAACCCTCATGTTGCCTTTCTGCGAACTTGCATCCGGCCTCTTCTGCTGCCACCATAAATACTCGACTTTAGTATCATCTGCTGTCCCTGTGGGCACGCTACAAACTCTATCCACCCGACATCCTCTTAGATCAGATTCCCTTTGTCTCTGTGTGTTTGTCACACTCACATGCCTGCACACGCACCCATCTTTCTTTGTTTCTCTCTGTGTGTGTGTAATCCGTTTCATGCGTGGACGTCCTCCCGGCGCTGACCTCGGTTCATGTTGTCCCCACTCCACATTTAACTTACATCACCTTAAACATTCATCCTGTACATTTCAACGCACCTAACATTCTCCTCACCCTTCCTGCTCGCTGATCATCTTTGTATCTCCCTCAGAATAATTGTAATTCTGGGCAATGAGGGGAAAAGCTTTGAAAGTCACAAAGTTGCAGACGGCATGCAGAGTCTCTCTCTCCGTCTTGTCTGTTCACATCTCTCTCTCTCTGTCTCTCTTCACCCCCCCAGTGTTCATTTGTTAGCTGCCCCGCCTCACCCCGCCCGGCCCCTCTCCCCCCGCTGCTCTACCCCACGCACACCAGAGTTCACTATCAGTTTAATTGGGTATAATTTGTTACAAGAACACTTCTGCATCTCTGAGAATGAAATATGGAATAATTTGACTAATAAGGGAAGACAGGGAATCGCCTAATTGTCATATCGACCTACAGAGCTCCGCCTGCCGCTCCCCAGAGTTTTTATTTGCAAATGAGCTTATCAAGTTTGTCAGTCAAATCTAGTCACTTAGCGTCGGAGCATGAGCAGGTGTCTCTATTCTATAATGTTGTGTTATAAAGGAGACCTGCCTGCAGTGTCCTCCATTGATCTGACCAGCTAGATTACAGCTAAAGTGTTCCTGCCTCAACAGTCTTAATCAAACACAAAGACATGTATAGAAGGAGAAAGAGAGATGCAGGAGTCTAATCTCAGCCTTAACAAGGTCCCCCGTCTCAGCAGCCTGCTCTGTGCAGACGTGCTTCACATCAATAGCAGACTCCAAAGAAACCACAAAGAGAGGAAACACTTTTGATTCCGTCCTGGAGCTTTTATGAAGCGTCTATTTATTCTCAGTACATCTTGAACCAGAAGCCCTATAATTCTCAATATCAAAGCGAGCCATATGCAGCCAGTCTCGCCGTCTCACTTTCAAAAAGGCCGTGGCTCCCTCCGGATCCGTCTCTCACACTTTCTGACATCTTGGCTATATCTGCTTTGTGTCAGGCTGTGACTCGAGCGGCCTGACTTATCTGACACATCGAGACTAACACTGAGTGACTGGTGTTGTCAAAACTGCCAGTGTCACCGCAAACACTCGGCAGCACATTAACCAATGTGTTTCTGGATTAAACAAATGTCGATTGGATATAAAATACAATTATTATCACCTTATAAAACAGAAATGCTAATTCACTGGCCAGTAGGATCATATGAACATCATGCTGTCATCCTCTAATTCCCAACCAAATGAAGGTCATATTTATCTGTTTTTCACCTTATTATATATGTTTTCCTCTCCATACACACATCCTCCATATACCCTGGGATTTAAAGGCTGCTTGTTTCAAGAACTAACCTAACTAACTTTCTGACTTACCACCTGTTGAACATGAATTGACTGTTTGCTAAACCCCACCCCCCAATGTCTAGTTTGTCCAATCATAGCTTAGCGTTCATAACTATGCAGCCTGTCAAGCTTTCTCTTCATTTCCAAAATAATAATGGGACAATAAGTTGTTAAAAAACAGGCACAAACAAAGCTAAGAATTGTATTGAACAATGTGTTTATTGGCTTAAAGATCAAATAAACGTTAGCATGCCTGGCTAACTTGATTAGCTAACCTGGTGTTATTCATTTCAACAGGCGAAGGACATGTAATTAGCTTACGAACTCACAGTGCTGCCTGTAAATGCCGTCCATTTACTCATTTACAAATCCCCTTTTCCAGTCAGAAATATATGTACTACATCTATTATAATGCACTGTGTTGCATGTCAAATATAATATTCTATAATGAGCATCCAAATCATCCATAATTATGTTAAAATGAGATTTTATATAAATAATAATACACTAGAGCTAACTATACAAGAGCAATGCTGTGTCGTCAGCTGGTGAGGATGGTGATATTTCCCCTGCAAGATTTAGCCTCAATTATTTAGCATTTCATGATGTACTGTATGAAGCCTGGTGAATATTAAAAGTCCTTTTCGAAGGCTATTCATTTTTAAACAAATCTGCTGAAAACTAGATAATTCATTTTTCAACAATCTTGCTATATTTAGCGTTGGCATACAGCTTAAAGTGAGGATCCTGCTTCTGTATACCTTTTGTCTGTAATGAAAAATCGAAATACAACGCAAATTCTGAGTAGATCGGCGACCATCTTAAACTGCTCGTGTGCTTTGTGAGAAGAGAAGGTTGGACAGGAGGAGCAACGGTAGCTAAGAGTGGTGGGGATTAGCAAACGGTCATAAAGTCATAAAGCTAACTAAGTTTTTAGTGTTGTAATCAAGGTCACCGAGCTAAAACCTTGTGTTACAAAGGGGGAAGTTGGTAGTGAAACATTTACCCATCATGCCGCTGTGCTTTGCAGGTGCTGGAGCAGTGGGAGTCCCAGCAGGGCCAGGGCAGCCCCGCTCAGACCAGCCTGTCAGCCCCAGTTATCCCCCACAACGCCCCCTTCCCAACACACCATCTTCACAGGGCCTCGGTCCCAGACTCAGCCTCCGAGGCCCTGGCTAAACCTGACCCCTTTGACCTTTATGAGAAGTCCAGGGCAATCTATGAGAGTAGGCGTAAGTACCAGAGACCATATTGCCGGGGTAGCATTGTGACAAACACTGACGGTGCACTCATTGGAAGGTGGAGTAGTGGCGATTCATCACTACTTTCTGTAACACACACAAACACGCATTGAGTTACAGATTCCTTTTTGTTGTTCACTTTGGAAGCTGCACATCGAAAAAGGGATTATAAAATGTCATATGCACAACTACAACGGTGCAGGACTCTGCTGCAGGGTAGCTTGTGAATTTACTCCAGGTGGAACTAAAGTCTGATTTAACACTTGATTATATTTCACATCATTTATCCACATCTGTAAAGTAACTAAAGGGATTAAATACATGTAGTGGAGTAAAAGTACACAGTTTACCTCTGACTTATGTTCACTGCCAACCTAAAAGTACCTCAAAAAAAGTAATCAATAATGTATTGAAAAGTTATTTGGCTGATTATTTTATATTGGCTCAGCCAGGTTATATGGGATGCCCAGTCTACTTACAGATGGTTTACTCATTTTGAAATATTAAACTTAGTTTTAATTTCTTTAATGTGTCATCCTCATGTAGAATGCTATTATGAAACACATTTGGTTGTTTATAGCATAAAGAACATCTGATTTAATGTGAGGTAGGGAAATAATCATTTGAGTATGTGTATATAAATATGTAATTTACAACATCTGTAAGATGCTTGAAAAGCTTGAAAATGCACCTTGAAAATGCTCGAAAAGTGCTTGAATTTGACTTTGGAAAAGGTGTAAGAACCCTGGATATGCTAAACAAGAAAAGACATAAAATAGTGCATTAAATAAAAAATTGCAGGAATAGGAAAATACGTGCATAAAAAATAAACAGATTGTAATAAACTATAATAAGCATAAAGTATTTTAATGAAACTAAGAGATATGTTTTTTATTCTCAGTTTTACAAGCATTTTGCAGATTTATTTCTCTATTGCCATTTGCAGCTATTAATTCCTCCTATTATCTCTTTTTATCTCGTCCCGTTAAAATGCGCACACAAGCCACACAACACACACACAAGCTGCCATCAGCTCAGCCTTTTTACCGACTGGAAGGATCTTTACATCCTGATATTGAAACCCTGCCAGTTTACAGCATAAACAAGATGTGTTCATGAATAAACACTCTGTGCAGAAGCTGATTTCTTTTAAAGACTAAATCCTTTGGTGCCAGCAGTATTACCATCCTCTGACTTGTCAAATGTGGAAAAAGAGATGTCTTCTTTTTATGATCATCGGGATGCATCATCAAAACTCTGATGCCCTGTTGGAACTTTTGGCAGTGGAAAACTACTAAATGTGCTTTTTTGATGTTGGTATAACATTTGTGATATTGGGCTATATAAATAAACATTGATTGATTGGTATGCAGGGTTCAATCAATCAATGTTTATTTATATAGCCCAATATCACAAATGTTACATTTGTCTCAGTGGACTTCACAGTTTGTACAGAATATCAGTATGACAATTTGACAATACGACACCCTCTGTCCTTAGACCCTCACATCGTACAAGGAAAAACTTCCGGAGAAAACCCACAGTTTAAAGGGAAAAATGGGAGAAACCTCAGGGAGAACAACAGAGGAGGGATCCCTCTCCCAGGACGGACAGACGTGCAATAGATGCCGTGTGTAAATTGAAAAGATAATACATTTGCAACATAGGTAGTCCAAATGTTTGGAAATGCATGTGTGTATAATAGGAAGATGAATCCACGAGGATATCCATCCAGGACCTATGATCCAGGACCACAGCCACGACTCAAGATCCAGGGCTCGCGATCCAGGACCGCAGGATCATCCATGACTCCGGATCCCGGCGTATATAGACACCAAAAAGAAACAAATTTGGGGAAGCTGGGTTAATCGGAACATGAGAGTACACAGGTATAGACAGAGAGAAGTAAGATGTCCCCCGACAAACTAAGCCTATATCAGCAAAACTAGGGGCTGAATCTAATCAGCCCTAACTATAAGCTTTATGAAAAAGGAAGGTCTTAAGCGCACTCTTAAAAACGGATAGGGTGTCTGCCGCCCGAACACAAACTGGAAGCTGATTCCACAAATGTGGAGCTTGATAAGAAAAGGCTCTGGCTCCCATTGTACTTTTAGAGACTCAACCCTGCATTCTTGGAACGCAGGGTTGAGTCTCTAAAAGTACAATGGAACGCATTCTTGGAACGCAATGCCCTAGTAGGACAGTAGGGTATAATGAGTTCTTTAAGGTAAGATGGCGCCTGCCCATTAAGGGCTTTGTAGGCGAGAAGAAGAATTTTAAATTCTATCCTGTGTTCTATAGGGAGCCAGTGTAAGGCAGCCAGAACAGGAGTAATGTGGTCCCTTTTCCTAACTCTGGTTAGTACACGAGCTGCAGCATTTTGAATTAGCTGAAGCAACTTGACTGACTTCTTGGTACACCCTGAAAATAAGGAGTTACAATAATCCAGCCTTGAAGTAACAAATGCATGGACTAGTTTTTCTGCATCGTTTTGAGGCAAGATATGCCTGATTTTTGCAATGTTACGTAGATGGAAGTAGGCGGTCCTTGAAATTGATTTTATGTGGGCGTTAAAGGATAGATCCTGATCAAATATAACACCAAGATTCCTTACAGTCTCTCTGGAGGCCAAACTAATGCCATCCATAGTTAGTATATCTTTAGATAATTTGTTTCGTAGATTCTTCGGGCCAAGTACAATAACTTCAGTTTTGGTCGTATTTAACATTAAAAAAAGTAAGGTCATCCACGTTTTTAAGTACTTGAGGCAGTCTTGAATTTTATTTAGATGATTAATTTCATCAGGGTTGATTGATAAATATAGTTGAGTATCATCCGCATAACAATGAAAGTTTACAGAATGATTCCTTATAATATTGCCTAACAGAAACATATATAATGTGAACAAAATAGGTCCGAGCACTGAGCCCTGTGGCACTCCATGGCTAACTTTGGTTTGCGTGGAAGATTCATCGTTGACACGTACAAACTAAGAGCGTTCAGATAGATAGGACCTAAACCAGCCTAAAGAAGTTCCCTTTATGCCAACTAAGTGCTCTAGTCTTTGCAATAGGATATCATGGTCGATAGTATCAAATGCAGCACTGAGATCGAGCAAAACAAGAATAGAGACACGTCCCTTGTCTGAGGCTATTAGAATGTCATTTGTGACTTTAACCAGAGCTGTCTCTGTGCTATGATGTGTTCTAAAGCCAGACTGAAAATCTTCAAATAAATCATTGTTTTTTAAGTAATCACACAGCTGTTTTGCGACTGCTTTCTCAAGAATGTTTGAGAGGAACGGAAGATTAGAAATAGGTCTATAGTTGGCTAAAACCTCTGGATCGAGGTTGTGCTTTTTAAGAAGCGGTTTTATCACTGCTACTTTGAATGATTGTGGAACATAGCCTGATAATAAAGACATATTCATAATATTTAATAAAGAAGTGCTAATTAATGGAAAAACTTCCTTCAACAGCTTAGTTGGAATTGGGTCTAACATGCACGTTGATGGTTTAGAAGAGAGAATCATTGAATTTAATTGTTCAAGGTTTATGGCTGAAAAGCATTCTAGTTTACTATCTAGTGTAATATTAGAACTTACGTTTCCGGGAGCTGTTGATAACACTATACTGGTCAAAGGCAAGAGGTCATTAATTTTTGTTCGAAGAGTAACAATTTTATCGTTAAAAAAGCACATAAAATCATTACTACTGAGTGCTATGGGAATAGAAGGCTCGGTCGAGCTATGGCTCTCTGTCAGCCTGGCTACAGTGCTGAAAAGAAATCTTGCATTATTCTTATTCTCATCTATTAATGAAGAGTAGTAGGCTGCTCTCGCTTTACGCAGTGCTTTCTTATATTCATTGAGAGTAATATGCCAAATTAAACGAGATTCTTCAAGTTTAGTGGAACGCCATATCCTTTCAAGTTGTCTCGGCTTTTGCTTTATTTTGCGGGTTTCGGCATTATGCCATGGAGCTAATCTATGTTGTTTTATTTTCTTCTTTTTCAAAGGAGCAACAGAGTCTAATTTTATTCGCAGCGCATCTGTAGCACTATCAACAACATGATCAATTTGGGGTGGTGTACATTTTGTATAAGTTTCCTCCCTTACATGCAGACATGCTATCGAGTTAAGTATTGGTGGAATCTCTTCCTTAAATTTGGCTATAGCACTAACGGATTGGTTTCTGCTGCAGGAACTTTTGACTAATGCTTTGTAGTCTAATAACAGTACTTCAAAAGTTGTTGGTGCACGGTACACTGTAACAAATAAGATTGGCTGCAAAGTTTTCCAGGTCGGATGCGTAAGACTAAAAACGAGGCTTTCAAAGGAGGTATAATTTAATTTTGGTTTAGTATTGATAAGTAAACTTGAGTCAAAGATTGCTGCAACTCCACCTCCTCGGGCCGTGCCTCGGGCAATATGAGTATTGATATGGCTGGGTGGAGTGGCCTCATTTATGCTGACATATTCTTCATGTCTCAACCAAGTTTCAGTGAGACAGCATATATCAATATTATAATCAATATTATAATCTGATATTAATCATAGGGTTGTAGTGAGGATGCTGAGGTCATGAGTCCAAGTTCATTTAGTTTATATAAATATCTTGATTATATTTCCCAACATTAGAGACTATACAGCCATTTCAAGGCCTTCTCCATATTCCCTGGATAAATATTGGTGCATTTATTTTTGCATAAAAGTAGTCAAACTGAAATAAAATTAGTATACTTGTGTTTTCATGATAATGCCAAAAGTGTAGGTTTTAATTAATTTTATTAACTCCAAACAGGTTGCCCAAAAACTATTGAATTAGTAGTTACTGCACTGCCTTCAGGTAGTCAAAAATACTGCAAATACTTAATACTTAATTAAAGGGGCCCTATTGTGCTTTTTGGGGGAGGGTTTCCTTTCCTGCAGTGTGTTATATAGGTTGTAGTGGATGTAAATGGTTTGCTAAGGCTAAAATCCAAAAGTAGAATGTGGGAATTCTCCATTTTGAAAACATTTAATTTACACATAGAAAAAGTGAGTGGAGCTTTTGTGGAGGTCTTTCTTCTGAGGTGGCCATAGCTCACATGGAATAGTAAAAGTTTCTACAGAGATGACTGGTGTTAAGTTTAAAGAGGACGTGGCTGTCAGAAAGTCTCCTTATCAAACCTCTGTCTTTCTGTACCTCTCATCGTCTCTCCCTCCTCTGCTGCCTTGGATTCAGTGTAACTCTTGTCTTCCTTTCAATAAAGGTCAGGGGTTGATTCTAATGAGGCTCAGCAGGGAATAGTATAAGACCGGTTTGAGGAATGCTTCGTATCCCCTCATGTTGGTGAGGGTGAAGCAGAGTGTGACCTTTTTGGCAGCTTCACAGCCACAGGGGATCAAACTCCACAGCACATGTTGGTTCATTTCCTTTTCATTAATGTCAGCATTTAGCTAAAAAAAATCATTTCTGAATGCCTGCAGTGATTGAGCTGATATTTTGGGGGTATTTATTCAGAGGAACTACTTTTGTCCCCATAACTGTTCCCAGTGTTATCTGATTATCCAGAGTCAATGATTTTGGAAGGGATGTGGATATTGTGGGTGATATTTTTTAGAGACAGAGCCAAACTATCTGCATGGTTAGACATGTTTTCTGTTAGGATAAACCAGCCTTTTTAATGTTCCCTCATGATTTCAAGACAGGCCGATATAAGGTATTAAACCTGGTAAATGGAGCGGTTTTCTAAAAACACATGTTTCCATATATTTAGGCTTGGATGTTATTCAGAAAGGTGGATTTATTTTTATTTATATAGTTATTCTGGACCTCCATCATATGACATTGTAAGTGAACAAGAAAAAGTATAAGCCAAAGTTAAAGAACAGCAACTAAAATAATGACTAAAGAACAGAAGGGAGAGAAAATATTCAAATTCTTCACAATTAGGCAAACCTTATCTGCTGATATATATTTGTTTGATATGATGGGAAGCTAACAACTGCTATGAAGTGGATCTTGAGATGTGAATGAAATCTGAAAATCCCGTGGACAGGATTTCTGACAGTAAAAGCATGGTTTAAAATATTCATTGTTCTCCTGTAATCACCATCTCTCTAAAAAGCACAGTAGGCCTATATGGTTTCTGTGGAAACAGCTGTGTCATTCCTCCTTTCTCTTCTCATGATTTTTTTCCCCCTCCCGCTGAGTCCCAGCAGAGCGCTCAGTGTGATTAAAACAGTAACAATTGGAATCAATTTTTCATTCAGCGCCACTTGTCTGCGGTTGGGTTTCAATTTGCTACTTTGCAGATCATCGTGTTGTGTGAAGCCAATGATTGCAGATCAGTGCTTGCATCTCACCTCGCACTGTAAATAAGGGACGGGTATATTACACGCTGTAAGCACTTCCTGACTTTAATGGATGATGCTGAAATTCTGTGGTGACAGTAATGCTGAGGCAGTACGTTTCTGCTTCATTCTAGCCATTATGGGGGATTGTGTGTGTGCTGTATGCGTGTGAATGTGGGTGTGAGTGTATGTCCATTAAATGTGCATTTGTTTATGCTTTCTTCCTGCGTCTTTTTTTTTCTAGAACCCGGGCAACCAAGGACCATTTTCCCTGTGGACTCCTCAGGTAAAAACCTCCTCCCTGCAGGGACACTGTTATAAAATAATACACTGAAAAGTATTTTAATGAACAGGACTTTATTCTCTGTGATGCTTCAGGAGTGGAGTTCCAGGACATGGAGGTGCACCTGCGCAGACAGAAGTCCGGTTTTGGTTTCAGGGTGCTGGGCGGGGACGAGGCGGGGCAGCCTGTGAGTCCGGAGGCGTGTGAGAAGGCTCGTATGGCGATGGGCGTGGAACCCTGTCATTTTCTCCTTTCTAACCCACCACACACACACCTAACCCCTGACCTTTGACCCCTGAGAGAGTGCTGGCTCTGGCTGCTTTGGTGTCTTTTTTCTGTCTGTTAAAGTAACAAAAACCACATTTAAATCATGTAATTTACAGATCAGTATAACAACACACTTTAACTCCCACTGCATGTGATATTCACAGACTTTTCTTTTGTGGTCCACTTCCTGTTTGTAACACTCTACATGTAATAACAGATCTTGATAGGGGCGATCATCGAGAAGAGTCCAGCAGATTTAGATGGACGCCTGCGGCCCGGAGACGAGCTGTTGTTTGTGGACGGGATCCCGGTGGTGGGGAAGCCGCACAGATACGTCATTGACTTGATGCACGGGGCGGCGAGGAACGGCCAGGTGAATCTGGTGATCAGGAGGAGGGGGCAGGCAGCAGGTGAGCACTCAGGAATGCTGCTTTTCACTCATCAAATTGCAACTGTTTTCCCTTTCAAATTAGACACTGTATTTCATTTAAGAAATATTGAACAATAATTGTGATAGATGACTATGTTAGTAGCTTCTCAAGCTGAACTCCAGACATTGTTTGGTTTTCATATTTTCACACACAATATAATTCACATGTGAGTGTGGTAGAAACCTTGGCTATTCCGAGTGCTTAACAAAGAACATTAAAAGCAAAAAGACAGGAATAAAATAAATGAGCAAATGCTACAAAGGTTTAATTAAAAAAGTTTAAAAGACATACAAAATGTAGAATATAAACATACAAAATCATCAGTACCTATACATTTTAATGTGAAAAGCCTTCACTGGGTCAAACTTCTAAAATGTGACGGTGTGCTGCTTTTGTCCATTTTTAGTATTTTTTAGGTTATACCCAAAAGTGATGTATAGCTTACAACTGATGCAACACCATGAAGTAGTTTTGAAATATGTAAATACTGAGCTAATACCCCTAAAGGATAAGATGTGTGGTGTTCAATACTTTCCTTATTGTCAACCAAAGTCAGTTATTCTATTTCCTTGAATTGCTCATTCTCTTTGTGTCTCTCTTCGCTCTCCTCGCCGCCACCATTCTTGTCCTATCATAGTTCAGGAAACAGCCTTTAATCTGTCAGAAAAGTGAAGCACTAATCTTTCTGAGTAATTACCCTGCAGCCTTTCCAAGAAACACATTAGCACACTCTGGCTCTTACACACCGGTGCTCAGTGGTCCTCCTTCAAGCCTCTTTGCATTTCAGCCTGGAGAGCGGTGGCACTTCCTCCAGTGAACTCCGGCCTCCCTGCTCTCATTATTACTGCCTTCCCACACACACACACACACACACACACACACACACACACACACACACACACACACACACACACACACACACACACACACACACACACACACACACACACACACACACACACATGCACACACACACACACTCTCATGCACACACTCTTCTCACCAATCGACTTCCTCACACTCTTTTTCCACCCTTTCTGTCAATTTCTTTTTGGTGTCCTGGCCTCTTTCACAGTCTGACTCTCATCCTAATTGTCTGACTCCCACTAGCGATTTGCAAGGTGTCAGACTCAAAGTGTATAGTGGCCCACTTTACCACAGTTCATTCTCTTTTTTACTATTTTTCCACTTAAAAAGTAGCCATGTGTTGGTTTAAGAAGGTGCTACATGTGGGTGTATACCTTTTTTTATAAAGGGACAATTCTCACTTCATAAGTTACAATCTGAATTCCTAACGGTGTAGCTACAGAAAGCCACAGCACTGCTCCTCTGTGATTCTTCGGAACAACACAGGTTTGATCGCTCAGTATGTCAGGATGCAAACACACAAAAAAGCTGGAGGTGCGAGACGCTGCGGCTGGATTGACACGCCGCTGCATTTTAATGATGTGTTTTACCACATTGTGACAGTTGCTTTATGCTCTTCTATTTTGTATTTCTGTCTTGTTTTTGCTTCTTGATTCTTCACAAGGATGAGAAACAGCTTGTCTAATTTTACAAGAGGAGGAGGAAAAAATGTTTTTAGAGATACAGAATTCTCCTTATATTTACCCAAGCCATTCTCTATCTCATGGGTAATTTCACAGCACAGTGTTAGGAAACCGAAATGGTGTTAAATTATGGGTTTAGTGATTGACAGGCTGCATTTGGTCCTTTTAAAATGCTGCTATCGTGACAACTTACTTAGCATTGTAAGATAAACATAATTGCTAATGACAATCTTATAAAATTAAATTGTTAAAGATTACACCAGATGTGTCATTTAATCAACTATTCAAGACCCAAGAGGAGAAGTTATCCAAAATGAATGATAATAATAATCATTTTTCTTCTGTCCTTTCCATTAAATGTCTCTCTGATGTATTATATGTCCCCTTTGAAGAAGCCCCCTATGTATGACAAACTATTGAACTGTATATAAAGTTGTTAAAACCAGCTAGTACTTTTACTTTTTATACTTTAAATACCTTTTGTTAATAAGGCTACTTTACTTTTACTAGGGTAGGATTTTGATGTTTAACATTAACCTGTAACTATATATTTGGTTGTTGTTTAACCTTTCTTGTAATTGGTTTCACAGATGACAAAACATTTAAAGAACGATATCCTGTTCACACTGAAAACAATAAAGAGCACAATATTATTTCTTCCCACTTGCCTCTCAGGGCTTCCATAGAATTTGGATATTTAAAAGATAAATAATTAAAATGTTCCATTCAACAAGATATAGTACAACACTAACACAGGGACCCCTGGATAAGGCCTATGACAATAAACACTACTCTATGTGTATGGTATGTACCCACTCAGCTCTCTCCCTCCCCCTGCAGGTGAGTCTTGTCCAGAAAATGGCCGCAGCCCGGGCTCCGTCTCCACGCAGCACAGCTCCCCACGCAGCACCGACTTCACCTACGCCAACAGCATCAACCAGACCCCCAACGCCACCTCAGACAGTACGTCGACCCCCAACACGCAACCCAGTGACGTCATCATCAACCGAAAGGAGAGCGAAGGCTTCGGCTTCGTCATCATCAGCTCGCTAAACAGGCCCGAGGTGTCCAGCAACAACCGTGAGTCCCCTGATTGTTCTACAAGTGTTTCGTGGATTCAAGTAGATGCTCATCCTCTCCTAAGTGCTAAACCTGGTGTCAAAGTTCTCAGACGTGTATCATGTCAACTGAATGTGGTGGATATGAAATATGAGTTAAGTATAGTGTAGAGGTCATGACTCGTTTAAAAGTGAAGCACCTCTCTTTCTGTCTCTTCAATTATACATGCCCTCCCACGGTACGTCACTCACACACATCTCTGCTGTGAGAATCAGTGCATCGCCCACACACATGAAGGAAAGAAAAAAAGAGCTGGATGCCTTACGTAAGCCTGGGGTGAATAGCAAAATGATAGAGACAGAAACATATTCAGTCAGTCAGAGTGAGCACAGGCAGGCGTAATCCTGCAATCTTCCGCCAAGCACGTCTTCACCTGCAGCGTGTTTGTGTTTGAATCCTCCGACAGCTGTGCCTCATAAAATTGGCCGCATCATCGAGGGCAGCCCTGCCGACCGCTGCGGGAAGCTGAAGGTGGGAGACAGGATCCTGGCAGTGAACAGCCAGTCCATCGTCAACATGCCGCACGCTGACATCGTTAAGCTGATCAAGGACGCGGGCCTCAGCGTCAGCCTAAGGATCATCCCGCAGGAAGGTGAGAGGACACGTGGACGTGATAGATGAGGACTTTTAAAACTGCAATGCTTTGGCTAGACAATGACTCATGACAGGGATTGATTTTTGCTCCTTTAAATCAAAGCTGTAATATGAGTTGGTTTTTTTTTAGATTAAATTTCACTTTCATGAAGGGTGTTCTCTTCACTGAATCGACATGTGAGCATGCAAACGCTTGAACAGACCTACCGTCTCTTACTAAATGTGCGCCATTTCAGTTTCTTAGTGGTCCTTTTCATCAACTCAATAGGGAGCACTTAGAAGAGGTAAAAATCCCTGAGTGGCAATTCAATTTTCACTCTTTTGTTATTTACATTACATCACACACATGAAAATACACAAAAGCACACTCAGGACCGAGACACATGCCTTAATGGAGAGTTGTCAGAGCAAAGGGGCTGCCAATGGTTTAGCAGTTGGGGGTTCATACAGACTGCAGCCCCTGCCAATACAGTAGCACTTACAATTGTTTTTCTCATTTTAAGCTAATGTACTTCCAGGATTCTTGCTTTTTTGAAAGAAAAAAAAAAAGATAAATAAAATGTAATGTCAATCTTAAAGCCTACAAAGTGTCATTCCATGTCTCCCATGCTTCCTTCTTTCTGAATCCCAGAGATCAGCAACCCCCCCTCAGCCCCCAGCTCAGAGAAGCAGAGCCCCATGGCGGTGCAGCACAGCCCGAAGACCCCGCCGGCCCCCGCCGCCTCGCAGCCCAACGCCGCGGCCCCGGACCCCAACCCTCCTGTCAGCCAGCCCAACCCCGCGCCCCACCAGAGCCCCGTCACCCAGCTGCCCGCCCCCCCCACCTCCGACCTACACCCACGAGAGCAGGTTAGACACCGTTGATGAGGATTACAGAGCTAGACAGGTCCCTCTCTAGGTGGTGGCAAACAGTTCTAATAACAGCTGTTTCATCCTCACGTTGTGTTACTGTGTCAAATTCACAGCTGTCTAGATTTTCTGAGGCAGTGAAGCATTTTTGTAGACAAGCCCTGTATCTGTCTCTGGGGCAAACACTGTTCCTCTGAGAATACAGGTAGGAGAGAATCACATGTCCTCATTCTCTCTACCTTTCATTCATTTCCTTTTTGTTGTTATAGTTTCTCCTACTTTTCCTAACTCACTCTGTCGTCTCCTCTTTTTTCATCACTCTCTCTTTCTCCTCACTTTGTTGTATAACATCACTTAACTCTTATGGAGCGCTAAATTATTTACTTAAATAGCATCTTTATAGAAATCTGTTGAATCTTTTACCAAGCGCTAAAGGGGTTCAAAATCTACAATGTCATTGCATTTCCTCTCTTCTTTGCACAGTGCCTAAATATGTTTGCACTCACCAGCCTCTGAGAGAACTTGTTTTTTTATTATAATTTGATGTGATGAGAAAAGTCCCAGTCTTGTTTGATGGTTGTCAGTGCAAACCAAAACAAGCCATCTCTATCAGCACATGGTGACCCAGTTAGTTAGTCAGAATATAAATGAATATAAAGAATCCTGCTGGAGATTCTTCCTTCATTCTGATTGGTTCGCTAGTTACAGGTCCGAAGTGAAGGCGAGGCAAGATGTTAAACCGGACATCAGACAGCCGCCGTTCACGGATTACCGACAGCCTCCGGTGGATTACCGGCACCCCCCTGTGGCAGACTACAGGCAGCCCCCCACACTGGAGTACAGACACCCCCCACTGCTCGATTACAGACAACTAGCTACTGACACACGGACGTTCGCCATGCCAGACTACCGGATGCCTCCAGTTCAGGTAAGGATGTTTCCCAACACAGAAGACTGATACTGGCTCTTATAAACAATAGACAGTAGTTATTTGAGGGCATACATCAATATGTGTACATTCATAATGGATGTAATAACCGCTTGCTGCTTTTAGTAGAAAACCCACAGAGAATGATCACCCAGCTCTACAATTCCCTTCATGTGTGCAGAGCGCTTCAGCGTCTTTTAGCTCATTGTTTTGGTTGTATTGTAGAATTTACGAAAATGTTATTGCTCTCTGCTAGAACAACTGTGATGACAATGTTTAAAATGACCACAAACATATTTGTTATATTTCTGCATTTTATGTCTTGTTACTTATGTATTTCCTTATGTAATCCTTAAACTTCTCCAATTCTGTTTACCTCTTTATAGCTTAATACTGTTTTTGTACACATTGTGTTCATGTATTTATACTTAAAGCTAGAACTGTCCGCCTCAATGTAGTTCATAAAAAATACTAATTTTTCCAGGCAGCAGGAAATAAGGGATAAAAATGTTGATTACATAACTATATGTATGTAAAATGGTGTTGTTTGTGTATCTGAAACTGAGTAAACAAAATGCTGACATATACTTCTGGGTACTTTCAAGAAAGTGTTTTAAATGTTAGCAGCTCCCTTGTTTACCTTTTATACCAAATATAATAAGGTAGGTGTATATGTATGTAACAATTCTACGTTTCTGTTTTGTTTACCTTGCATTCGCTTCATTCCTACTCACTTATTGTTCTTGCTGATTCGTGAATCTTTTTCTGCTGTAATGGCCCGTTTTCTCCTGCGATAACATGGACTGTAATCATATCTGATCTGTGCTGCTCTCAGCTGGCGCAGGACTTCGACTTCTTCACAGTGGAGCTGGATAAAAGCGTGAAAGGCTTCGGTTTCAGCATCCGCGGAGGCCGGGAGTACAAGATGGACCTGTTCGTCCTGCGGCTGGCAGAGGACGGGCCGGCCATCCGGAACGGGAGGATGAGGGTACGTCTGATGATGTCATTTCCTCTAAGAAAGCCACTGTTAAAAGGTTACGCTGCTTTTTCTATCTTCCCAGATTACACGGCGGAAGCTCACTGTAATTGTCCGATGTTATCAAAGCTGCAATAGCAACTTTTTCAGAGCCGATTAGGAAATAATCTGTCAAAATAACTCTGAGACGGTTCGTCCTTTTTGATGAGTTATTTTTAGAAGTTGGTCTCCTCCAGTGGCGGCCGGCCCATAGGGGCGCCGCCCCCCCTCTTCCCACATGTTTGATTGTCATTAAAAATTAAAAATAAATAAAAATATATATTTAAAAAAAAGAAATTTGTATTTATTTGTAATGAACAAGGTAAATATTATATAGTTGGTATCAGTAACATGTATAATCTACAATGACATCTTGTTTAAAATTGTTTTACGATGTCTAAAGTTACTGATAAGTCACATGTTTCCTGCCTGGCCACAGCGTGTATCATTACCCTCTCTCGTCCGGGCGGTAAGAAAGGAGCCCTCACTCAGCCCCAGCAGCAGCCAACACATTGCTGACTGTTGCTATCTGTAAACTATGCCACCGAAACATAATTTCAGCCAATCAGCATCGTCAGATCTGATGGCCACAGGGCAGCAATTTCAGCGCCCGATGCAGTCTGTGAGTTGTTTGGACTCGTATCCAAGGTGCTACAGTCAGTAGTTGATGAGGATGGCTGCGTCTGCAGGTGGAGACTCTGGGTGCTAGTGGATCGCCGGAGCTGTAGATTAACATTTACATGCTTATTGTAGTTGTAAGTGCAATGCCTTTAGCACCATGGAGCATATGTGTGGGCTGGACTTGTATTTTACAGGAAAGGAGTGAGCAGAGGGTCGAGTTGTCGATTCTTGTTCAGTTTTTGTGACTCCTCACCCTCTCAGACTTTGAGTTGTGTGCGCTGCTAAAGAGACGCGCTACCATGGAAACCAAACAATGGTGTAGCTGTATTCAAGTCAGAGTGGAAACAGTCGTGAGTAAATCTGATTTTGTCAGAAATCGGGAGAAATGCGGAAGAAATATGATCCCGGGAGGAAACCGGGAGAGAGCAATGAAATTTGGAGTCTCCCGCGAAAATCGGGAGGGTTAGCAAGTATGACACACACACACACACACACACACACACACACACAACACACACACATAATGTTCGTATTTAGTCTGCCTTAATTAAAATTAAATCATTTGAGTGTTCCCAAAGCACCAGTGTTCTGCAGTTTGTGTGGGCCTACCGTACTGTAGAAACTATGTCCAGGACAAGGTTGTTCCGAAGTATTGGAAGATTCATAGCTAACACTGAAGATTATGGATTATCTCATATTTTTAAGCCTCAATTTTTCCTTCCCCCCCCCCTCCCTCTAACATCACCAGAAGTCATAATTGAAGGGGTCATTTCTCAAAAATGTCTTGCGGGGAGCAACACCCAGGACCCCCAAGTATGGTTTGGTCACCATTTCCATAGCCCCACCTCAAATATTTTTCCACCAGCCGCCACTGGTCTCCTCCCAATGCCTAAAACATATTTCTGCTTTGCTTTTAGTATCAGATACTTTTCTGAAAGATTAAGATAGATAAAGCATTTAACTGGGCCAACTGACTTGGCTGTTTGCATAGCATCACAATTCTCCCTCTAGCTATACAGTTGTTGCTTCTCTATTATTTGGTCAGAGAGAGCAGACACTTATTTTCAATTTTAAAAAGACTTGTAAATTGAAACAAAGCCCTTGAAACTGCTGTGTAACTCCACCTTACTTGCTCTACGTTCTTTGCTGCCAGTAACATAAATTGCAACTTACCTAGCTTTCTTCTGTTTTTAAAAATAGAATGAATCCTCCATCCAGCACGTCTTTCTTGATCTTGTTCTTTCTCTCTTTTCTCTCTTGGTTGGATGTCCTCTGATCTTTATGGCTGCTGCTGATAGCATTGGTCTGCTTTACATTCTTAATATGTAATGAACCTGCCAAGGATAATGTGCGCAAAGTGCCCTGGGGGAGATATTACTTTCCCTCCTCAGTGGTGTAGTCGATGAAGTCCATAAGGAGTAGAAGCAGGTGGAGGAGGGAATCCCTCTCAAGCTACACTTACAATCAGAATACAAGCTGCTATAAAGTCTGATCAGTGGTGGAAGAAGTGTTTGTCCATTTACATGACTTTAAGAGGCCCAGCAGTGTGTTTATATAGGTTTTTGTGCATGTTCGGCAAAGGCTAAAATCCCACAGTTTCTCTCCCTATAATATAATGTAAAGAGAGGAGAGGAATCAATCTGCATTTGAATGTGAGAAAATGGTTGAAGGGCATTTGACACGCCTGTCCCTTCGGATCGGAGAGGTGCTTTGACATATTTGAAGGTGCAGAAAGCTCACTCGCACCGTGACTCTTCAGTCTCTCTGACATTTTGATTTTAATCCAAGTCCATTCCTCCTCAACAGGCACTTTGTCACATCTTTAAGAAGGAAAAAAAACACATTTTGACCCACGATAATCAGGAAGGAGCAGAGACTAATTCTGACTAGTTAATTCCAAATTCAAGTGGCAGTGCAGAGGCTTTGAAGAGAATTGTATGAAGTGATTGGTTATTATGAACCATCATTCAGCACATTTAATTACCTCTCTAATCTTAAATGACAGAGAATCGTGCGTGGGCCGAAGTAGATTCAACACTTCCTTCATTTTCCTCCTCTGTGCTCAGCATTCACGTGGCGTCCATTCAGCTTCCCTCTTTATTAAAGATGAAAATGGAGATCGCTCTCTGCCGCTGTTAGGAGGTGGGGAGTAATGATGGAAGTGTCTTGCCTTCCCCCTCTCTTCAGGCCGCTGTAATGATAGCTAATGACTCCCCCTCTCCCGACTGCAGTCCGCTCCTGACTTTCATTACCCCTGCCATTACCGGAGGACTTCTCCATTTGTTAGCGTAATTGTCTGCCGTGTTTTGTCCTGTTCCCCCTGAATCCTCCCCATTAGCCAACCTCGGAGCTTGTTGAAGGGCTGAGTGATGAAGCAGGGGGGGGGAGTGACGTTTGACCCGCGACTCGGTCAAAAAATTGTTCCGGTAAATGGGCAGGTTATTGGTATACATCGCTGTGTCCCGAAAAGTTAAAAAGAGCCATTATGCCATCCAAGTTCCACATTAAAATAAGTTATAACTGATACCAGTTCATGGCTGGTAATGCTAAATAACTAATAATTAATTATAGATCCTTAAATCCTTAAATATTAAATTAGCTTTGATTTCATATGCAGTGTGCAAATACACTTATTAATCTGCTTGGTTTATGGAACTATATGACACTTATTTAGTTTTTCTTTTAATTATTTCCACAATTGATATCTCGTAAGGATTCTTAAATGCTGTTAACTTGATTCATATCTATATCTTTATTCAGATTGTAAATTGCAACGATTTAGATTTTCCTCTTCACTATGTTCCCGATGTGAAATGGTGCAGCGCCCTTTCAATTTGGTTTATCCCCATGCTTCACAGTGAGTGCTCCCAGAGCTTTAACGATGCAGCTTCAGCTCTGATCCACTGCTCGCTGTACTCGGCTGCTCTGAAGCCATAGAGTGTTTATCAATGACTAATCAAAGTTTCCTAATGTTTCGGCAGCTTAAAGACTACTTTCCTCCTTCAAGAACAACTTTTCCATTGATATTATATAAAACCGCTGCATTACCACGATGCAAAATATCCTCCTGTGTTAATCAAGGGAAATCAAATGCAAAATTAATTAAATTAATTGCATTGGATGCGAAGTAAACCAAATATTTGGGGAGAAAAGTTCTACAAGCTCTGCAACAGAACGTCGCTCATTTGTTAATAATTATTAATAAAACGCCTCCATATATTCTCAAGCACTTGTTTATCCTTTAATATGGAGCTTATCCTCTGAATATATTTTTGTGTAAAGCAAGGTGAGATCTATAGATTCTGGTTTATTTGTATCAGCACAAAACGTCTAAACCATATATTTCCATATGGAGTGTTTTTTATTTTAACATTGGACAAGGAAAATGTGTATTTCGAACATGTCAGCTTGCACTTCTGTCTAACATTAACATATTTGACTCTCTGTCTCATACTCCATCCAGGTTGGGGACCAAATCATTGAGATCAACGGAGAGACCACGAGGGACATGAGCCACGCCCGGGCCATCGAGCTGATCAAGTCCGGGGGGCGGCGCGTCCGCCTCCTCCTGAAGAGGGGCACGGGGCAGGTCCCAGAGTATGGTAAGTATCTACACCTTAACCTTTCTTTATCTGCAGGATCATTATTTCCTTTCTTTTAACTCATAGATTGTACTTTCATTACTGTCTTAATATCACTTTAACTCTTAATAACACTGTTCCAGCATGCATCTACTGAATATCATGTGAAATCTTCTGTCTTTATTGACTCTGTACTCTCTGCAGTTCACTATGCTGTAAACAAATAACTGTCTGGACTAACACTAGTTTATCTTCTGTCCATTTCAGTGACCTATCACTAATTGATTGGTCTAGGTTGTTACTTCCCCTTCTATAGGAATGGTATCTTCCAGTCTCTCCATGTGCATGAAAAGTGACACGCATGGCTCCCCCTATTTCTTCCTAATGGGCCACTCTAAAGACACGGTTTGTGATAATACGAATGTTTTTCTCTTCACGTAACCCTGGCTTTCTGTGCTGTGGTTTTTGTGTGTTGTGTTGTTGTAACCACCTGTTGAAGATGCACGCTGCACTTTCATAATCATTCTGCCATTTCAAAAGCTCACTTGCACAGCAGTATGTTGGCAGGAAAAAAAACTGAGGCTGATTTAACCAAAACTTGGCAACTAACCTTAAGAAAGACTGATAAATAGCACTATAGGTAAGATGAGATGAGGTAAAGTAAGACAAGCTAAGATAAGGTAAGACAAGATAAGTTAAGGTAAGACAAGATAAGGTAAGACAAGTTAAGTTAAGATGAGGTAAGGCAGGGTAAGACAAGGTAAGTTAAGGTAAGACAAGATAAGGTAAGTTAAGATGAGGTAAGGTAATGTAAGATTAGGTCAGTTAAGGTAAGGCAAGACAGGGTAAGATTTTTGTAAGACAAGATAAGTTAAGGTAAGACAAGATAAGGTAAGGTAAGACAGGGTAACATAAGATAAGGTAATGTAAATGAAAGATAAAACCTTTATTGACCCTGTAGGGAAATTCAGGGGCGAAAATATGGATTTCCGATTCTAGGTTCAACTGTACCTTTTTAAGGAAAAATTGCCCAAAAAGCTTCACTCAGCAGGAGGTTGTAATATTTTTCGATCATAACCCTCCTCCTGACCGAAAGATAAATCATCAGCTACCTAAAGGCACAAAAATATAGCAGTACAAGCCTTAGCCCTGAGTCAGCCAGAAAGGAGATACACATAAACTGTCCGATTATTTACCGAGTGAACTCTGGCGCAACTCAGCCTGGGAGGGGACATTTATATTTGTGACACTGCGGGTAATAAAACTCTAATGCTTCCCTCACTTCTGTGGACAAAACTCACTTTCCCGCAGAATACCACTAGAGAGAAAGAGGTTTCAGAGGAAGCACCGCAGCACTTAAGCCCCCAGCGAGACACATTCATCAGCGTTTGGCCTTGTCGTCACCCCCCAGCCCTTAAACACAGGAAACAGAGGGTGATGATGTTTCCCCGAGTTGGCCTTTTTCTGCTAGCAAGGGACTTAATCTCTCTGTATGGAGAGCCTTTGTAATACTTGCCTTCAGGTACTTGTACTGCTCTGAGATCTGCACACAGGGAGTCTAACTGTGATCAGCCAGAAGACACCGTCCTCCATCATTGCACATCGTTTGTTCCCCTGCTGTCTAAGAGCAGAAGCAGATTTCTAACCATGTTCTGCGTGGGCTTGATTCAGCATGTTCATCACTTGTAGGTTACAGGCACCTTATTTGCACACAGGAAGGTTATGCAAATCATCTATGCTGATTCATCCGACAATTTAAAACATTAGCATACCGATGTTCAAGGGAGCAAGTTATTTTCAGATTATTTTTCAGGAACAGCTGATTGCAAAAATAGAAGTGTGATGATGGCATAAACACTTATGGTTTGTGCATGTGCATGATAATTAGTGTGTGCCTGTCTGTGTGTGTTTTGGTGCCTCTATCTAGCATTAGATCTGCAGCTCAGGGGCACATATTCATCAAATGTGGAAAAATTAAGAATGCTCTGAAAAAAAACACTTAGTACTTTGTGCTATTTATATCAAAGTGACACTACAACAAACTAAAGAACAACCTTTCAGATATACCTTCAGGAGTCACTAAATATTGGATTCACATTCATCAGGTGGACACAAACACGACTGCAAATGAATGCTGCTCTGAGTCAGCTGGATGTGAAATGATCACAACTTTTCTACTTTAGAGTTAACTTATAAAGATATGTATGCGTTGAGTTTAATAGCTTCTTTCCTCTGAAACCAAATTATATCTTATTGCAGTCTTAGGAAGTCACATTTCTGATAAGAACAGGCCGAACCATTTTAATGCTCCTTCCATATAAAACAATTAGTAAATATTGTTTTCTGTTACGGTGACTCAGCAGAAGCAGTATTGCCGCTTATACTGAGCTCAACACAAGCATTAACACAGCAGGTGATAATCACAGCTGCCTGAATCCATCACACAAACACACACTCACACACACACACACACATACACACACAGGGTCCTTTATCAACGTCCTTGAAACAGCAGCAAACTATAGGTAGAAGAATTAGAACCAGCCCTCAATAATAATACTAAGCAACGTATATATTTAGTACCTCAAACAGTTACAAATTGCTTTTAAATGAAAACCGAACAAATGTTATGGCCAAATAGAATGCAAATGAACTAAGAACCAGCAACTACACACATAAAGGATACCCAGGCCCTCTCTCCCCCTCTCACCCCTGGATGTAATGTGCTCCGGCGCTGCATGGTAGTGGGCTTATAATAGGGCCACGTGGCGTTGCTGTAGCTAGGCGAGCTCTGCCCCCTGCCTGGCCCGCAGAAAGTGACTGATGGCCTAGGGAGCGAGAGCCATCGGAGCAGAAACAGAAGCTAACAGTCCGTGAGAGTGGAGAGTAGCGGAGGAGTGATCTGCAGATTCACTGCAGCTGTGGATACACACTTTTTCCAGGCTTAAGAGAGAGAGAGAAAGAGAGAGACACTCGGCCCCCGAAGGTTCCATTCTCGCTAAAGCACCATCGTTGGGCACATCATCCATTTCATTAAACCTGTTTTCGATTTTCCGCCAAGGTTTCAGATTGACCTGGGCTCTAAAGAGAGCGGCGGAGGCAGATTGATAAAAGCAGTGCTGACCCCGTGACACGTCCAGGAGTCTGTTGTAGTGCCGCTCTGATATTTACTCCCAGCTTGTAGAATAGAAGCGATTGCTGTGCTGATTGTTTTTGATTTATTGTTTGGTTGTGCAGTGGCATGCATGCAAGCTTCAAAGCAGAAGTGTGCGTGTGTGATTTTCACTTTATTGCCCGCAGATAATGCCGCCCCATGGGATGCTCGCCCTTCAGCCTCCCCAAGCCTGTCGGAAGTAGCCCCTCCCATCGACAGCCTCTCCATGCCATCGCCTTCATCTCATCTGGCCCCCGACCCCCCTCACCTGTCGCCTCTGGACGTCCCGCGAGACCCGGTCGGCAAGACGGAGCGACCGAAGAGCCCCCAGAAGGCCGAGCTGCCCAACCAGGATCTGACCAGCCAGGGGAGGAGAGGGAGCAGCAGAGCCAAGAAGGAGGGTGGCAGGTCCACCCACAAGGGGCCCAGGGGCCCGCAGACTACTGAGGGGGAGGGGAGCGGGGAGCCCAAACCCTCCAGGAGCACCAGAGGGAGATCCAAGGAGAGAAACCTCCAGAGAGAGTCCACCGAGTCTCCACAGCTCCCACACACTAACGGGACCAGCAGGGGGGATGTGGAGCGGTACGGGGGGTTGCAGCAGGGGGAGTCTGAGAGGAGCCTGGGAGAGAGCCGGCCCAGTCTGCCCCAAAAGAGCAGCAGCGCGGCGGGGAGGAAGGCCACGGTCTCCCCCGGGCCCTGGAAGATCCCCGGCTCAGACAAGCTGCCCAGCACGCTGCGCACAGGCACCTCCACCCTGAGCAGGTAACCCCCCGGCCCCCCGCAGGATACACCCACCTGACCCCTCCTCACTTCCTGCCCCCCGTCAGCCCCCCTCCACTCCATCCCAATCTCCAGAGACAAAACCACGGGGGGTGCAGGGTGATCTGGACCACGTGTTTTTAGAGTTTTATTTATGATATTGTACTCTAAATTATTTTGAGAAATATTTTACACCAACCACCTTAAGAACTGGAAAACCATCCACTTTATATAAAAAATAATAATATGGAAGAGCAAGTAGAATGTGGGAAGAATCACAAACTTTAAAGAACTCCCTGAGAAGAACATGCAAATAAAAACAACTGGCAGGAGGAAACTGTCAGCTGTGATGGGATTTTTTTATAAATATATATCTTCAAAACGGAATCTGTTTTATGGAATGTTACAGAGAAGGTTTGCCTGTTTTTGACGAGAGCGAATGGAACAAAGAGTGACAGCGGAGATGAGATCTACTCATCGACAGAACTTTGCCTTAAAGGAGAGACTGTGGGCCTGGACCTATCAGAAGATTATAGACAAAGATATATTATAATGAATATGTGGGATCATTTTGTAAATAAGATCATCTTTAAGTGAATTGAGCTGGATGGAAGTGGATTCTAGTCCGCGCTAAACCACGAGCTACATGGACGGATGTGATGCAGGTCGGGCTCTCGGCTGCAGTTCTCCGTTTTCTTTGCGCTTGAATCATCCCGAGTTCAGTGGGGATGTCTTGTCAATCCATTTTTCTCATTTCTGTGCTAAACGAAAAAAGCAATCCGTGACGGCGGTGTCCAGCCGGACGCTGAGAGGAAGGAGCTCGCAGGACAGCGACCGAGGGGCAGAGTGCCTTAGACTGAGACAGAGTGGCTTTTAGGTCAAAGGTCAAACTCCAAACCACTTAAGAGGGTTCAAAACAGGCTGCTATACAACACCAACTCTACAGATATGAATAATTAACTGTATTTTTTCAGATACGAGTGTGATACAGTGAAATATATAACTTATTTCACAAGCTTATGTATGAAAACCAAGTCCATAATCAGAACTGTTGACTTTATTTGTGGTTCATTTTGCATCATGACAGTTTTCATTACTGATTTTTTTTGGACACCGTGTTCAAACGTCAGTACAGAGCAGGGCTTTGCACCCAAACCAAACTAAAGTACTAAGATCTGACGTGGTCTGAAGCTCGCTCACCTAACAATCTGAGTGAATGAGAGTGCTCCATTCTGAATATGAAGCCTTTCTATCGTTTCCTGATCGAATGATGAGAGGATGCACCTGTCGCAGCGACTTTCAGTGAATGACTAAGATTAGTTTTTGGTGATCCTTTCTACACTGTGTCAAATGAACATCTACATGCCAAAGCTCCCTGTAGATCAGAAACATGTTCAGCTCACACACCTGCTCCAGAACTGGACTTATTTGAAGGTCTTATTTCCTTGTTTACATTTTTATACTACCTAAAAATTGACAATTTGCTAAGCCCTGTCCCCCTGTTGCTATGCCTGTCAAGTGTTCCATTCTGGCACGACACATTTAATAACAGTAGCCGATTACCAACGTTTTTCTACCCAGTTTTAATAAACTTGGTCCATGACTTTGCACAGAAGTAAACAAAAGCAGCTTCTCATTTCTCGCAACACGCTGTCACTTGCCTGTATTATCAGCTGTAGCTACCTTTTGAAGCTAATATGAGGCTCTATGAGTTGGTGGGAAACTGTCTCTGGCTGGCTCTTTTTTGCTGCTGACTTATTTTAAACAAGAATCTTGCAAAAAACGTGACTTCAAAGCTTCATACTTGAGCTAATAGTGGATAATGCTATATGTCACAAGGGGAACATCATTTGTGGATAATTTGTGTCGGTTATTGCCGGGTAGAGCCTATTAGTGCTAGTATTTAAGATGTAAAAAATCGACATGTGGTCACATAGTCAAATCCAATGAAAAACAGGACAGCTGCTAACGTTGGTAAAGAATAATAGAATACAAACATTAACTCTTTAAATGCTGAGTATTGCTCTACAGCCTCATGCTCATTGCTTCACATTTTGTAGAAATCCAAAGCTTGATGCTAAGCTGTGATTGAACACTTTATGTTCGGGGGAAGGGGATTTTACGCAAATTGTCAATTTTGAGATCAACAAATCAGCCACAGCGAGGGAAACATTTCCTCTGAATTATCCAACCCTCACAGAGTCATAATACCAGAGCAGAGCTCTCCTCCCTGTGCTGGGGGAAGTGCAAACAGTGTTTAAAGAATAAAAGAACAAACGGAGACAAGTCATTATGTTTGCCATTGTGATCGGTAATTACATAAAGAATAAGCCGAGTGACTTTAAAGCACAATCTCTCACAGAGGCTTTGAGAAAGATTAGGAGAAAATCAGCAGCCAGACCTGCAGTCACATGTAGAGGCTGTGCAGAGGACGAAATCACACAAGACCAACTCACTTTAACATTCAAAATATGCCTCCACACTGAATCATTATGCCATATTTGACCAGACTTCTTCTTTATTTTCAGTTGAAATGTAAAAAGAATGCATATTTTTGCTCAACCTTTGCACAACTCACTGCTTTGAACATCTGAGCTGTCTCCATTCAGCCAAATTGTAAGTAGTTTGCTATGGAAAGCAAAAACAAACAAAAAAAAAACATCCAGAAGTGTAAAAGTGTGTGTGTGTGGAAACAACACACCACACCCCGCGGCTCGGTATCACTGTGTAGTGTTATAGCAGTGTATAGACCCTGAACAAATATCTCTATAAATATGACTCCGTGTACTATTGATGGTCACAAAGACTGTAAGTGGAGCAACTATTTTTATGAAATGCAACACTATGGATATATTAACTTTTGCAAAAATCTTGTTTACCTGTATGATACTCTGAAAAGCTGTCAAAATAAAATAAAATCTTGACACAACATGAAAGAGTTATTTGGGACAAGCTGCTGTGTGATTAATTATGGGTGTTTTTTTATTAAAGCGTACACTTAAAGATCACATTGATATTCTTCACCTGCCCTGTTTAATACTTATAACCAGTATACACCACACTATAATGGAGTTGTGAACTAGTTGTTTCCTCAGGCTGAGATGTACTAAAGAGCAACTGAGCCTCATGTTTAAAATAGATGGAGTGCCTTTAAGGTTTAATATATCTCATGCCTTTTTTCTGTGGATATAGTTTGCCCTGTTGTCAACAACTTTATTAACCCATTTCTGATGAAATATTTATTTTTATTTTTGAAATGTTCTCATAGACAATCCCTTAACTGAGCACACATTTGAAGACATTTCCAAAACTGGTCGACCGAGAAGGATGAAGAGTGCATTTTTTTTCATCATACTATATTTGTTCACTTTGGGCACAGATAGAACTAATGTTCCCATGTGCCCAAAGACTAAAAGATGTCAAGACTTTAGAGCAAAGAGAACAAGCATTTCTCCTTACTACATGTTTTACCATTTTGATATTAGACTACGGTATTCTGATTAAACTATGATGCTTCTTGTATGAGTTCACAACTTCATTATAATCTGTTAAAAACTTTTATCAAATGTATATTTACTTCTTAGAAATGTTACATACGGAAGTGTCCTTTTAAAAATCTTAGTTGTTTGTATTTGTAGTGCCACTGTTGGCCACATGGGGACATATCATAAGCCAAGTAGTGAAGAACAGAGAATAATGCTTTTATTAGGAATTGGCCCTAATAACTTGATTTGCTCAAGTGAAAAAAAAATTGTTATATGTACAAATATTTGTATTGCTGATACATTACTATCAAAGGTATAATAGAAAATCCAATGCTTTCTGGGTCAATTCTCCGTATCTCCACTCGAGGTCAGTATAGACCAGTCTTTTGTTTTCATGGTGTTTGTTTTCATAATTCTTGAACTTACATAAAGTTGTTATTAGGGTTGAAGGTATTTTATAATGCGATGTTGTGAGTTTAAAAACTGGAAAGACATGTATATGATCTTGAATCTCTTTTGCAGCTCCTGGAAATTGAAAGACACTTCCTGCATTTGACATTGAGGTTTTCACACGTAGCCTACATCCTGTTGCGATACATTTGAAAACGTGAAATTCAGATTGCATTTTCTGTCATGATGAATAGGATTCTGCATTTAGGCAAACCGTAGACTTGATTTGAAGTATTCTAAGTATGGCTGGCTCTGCTTCTGCTTTGCCTTATATCTTATTTTGAACACATATATCAAACTGCTTTTCCTTTCCTTAGTCAAACAGACTAAAGAAGCACAGGGTGAGAGGAGCACGGGAGGAGCAGAAGAAGCAGCTCTCCTGCAGGGGCCGGGCCGGGGGCGGCCTCTGTTTTCCGTGTGTGTGGGGGGTCGGTCGGTCGGTCGATCGGTCGGTCGGTCGGTCAATCCAGAGCTGAAGTAATGTCTGCATCTGAGAGAGACGACTCAGAACAGCCTGAACACTGCTGTGCTCTTCCTGAAGAGACACTGAGGACACTGGAGTTGCACACAACCTTATAATAATTTAATTAATAATAATAATAATTCCTTACATTTATTATAGCGCTTTTTCAATGACTCAAAGCGCTTTACATATACACACATTACACATATATCATACATGCAATGGTCAGATACTGTGGACAATACCCACAGGCGCAAGTTCAGGTGAAGTGTCTTGCCCAAGGACACACCGGCTTTACAGACGCAGCAGCGGCGGGTTTCACCCCTTGATCTGATGATCATTGCACAGCGCACTGCGCCACACCGTCCATCTTCACGCCTCGAAGTCATCGAGGCGCTTTTACAAGTACACATTGGTATTATACATGTACTGTGGACATTACCCACAGGAGCAAATCCGGGTGAAGTGTCTTGCCCAAGGACACAACGGCCTGACGCAGTGGCGGCAGGAGCGGGTTTCGAACTGGAGTTCCCCAGCACTCCGATGATCGGATGCACAGACCACTGCGCCACCCGTATCCTTCTTGTTTACTCATTGTTCAAATCAAGTAAAGTATACGTTTAATGCCATATACAATGACAGCATCCTCCCTGACTTTCAGGTAATCATGGTTAATATTGAAATGATGAGCAAATGACAGCACCTTTAAGAGTTGAAATGTTAATCTAAGCTGCACATGTTAACCCGTGTTCAATGGCCTGGCTCTCAGTCCATTATAGCACACACACACTGCCCTATATGTGTCTCCCAAACACACAATCACACACTAATGTTATTAACAGCGGACATGGATCACATTAGTTGTTTGTCAGCATTTGATGGATTGCTTCATCTCTTCCTCCGACATCTCTAGTGCCCCTTCACTGAATTGCTTTTCATCAACACAGAACATATTGCCGGTAGAATAACTGCAGAGACAATGGGTTCATCCTTCAAGAAGACTTCTCTGTTTGGCACTAAAAGAAAACGTTAACAGCACCTCTAGTGATCAGGGGCTTCAGTATAGGTCTCGAATTGCCTCACTTTCAGCTGGCAGCAACCTTATGCTTTCATCTGAAGTGAGACAGTCATTGTTTGCCTGCAAAGAAAAGTAGATCCCGCTGTATCACTTTCACCTCATTTGCACTGCTTCACATGAGAAGCTATGTTGACAAAACAGGAGAAGTATTTTCCCATGCTGTTATTTAACCAGATTGTCTGAGAGCAGGAAAAAGAATCAACTCATTTGGGCGCAGCACAGACTCTACAAAGTTCATTCATGCTGTGTAACCATAAAACACAGTAATCAGTATTACATGTTTCAAATGTGGCCCTAATACCTCCATGGAACACAAACATTTTAGGTTCAACAAGTAGTTGCACAGCAATGATTACCTGCAGAAGAGGCTGTGCGTGGGCCTGTTGGTGTGGCATATTTGTATTTGTTTAAAGAGAGAGATTGTCCTCTTAAAGCAAATCCTGTCACGGCCACTATGAGGTTCATGGTTCAAAGCAGTCACATGCAAGCAACCTGTTCTACCATCTGCAGAGGTCTTCACTGCTGTAAGGATAATTATTCTGTCGATTATATTCTGTTCAGATAGAGTTAACTCTGCCTTTCAGCTGAGTGCATTGCAATTATGACTTGGAGTCGTTATTAGAGCTGTAAGATAATGGCACCAACTGGAGTTTTAAGTGTCCTTCAGGCAACAGGCTGGATGTAATAACCGTATAGTGATGCCTGGTACTTCAAAACATTAATTATGCATCAGTGCTTTGCAATGGGGAAGGGGAAATTATCTGTCTTGCCTGGTTTTTATGTCGATGTCAATAAGGGGTCTGTCCTGACACGTTTAGCTGCTAAATGAACAAAGGGTTCAGGTTAAGAGCGATCAATGGACAATCATTATATATTTGGAGATAAATTGTGAATCGTTTCCAATCATTTAGAGACACTTAAAGTGTGTCAAATCATTAATCGAGCATGCATAATGTAAACTCATTGTATTGAATGTTTATTTATTGGATTACAGTATATATTCAAAGTATAAAACCACAAGAATAGGCTGTCTCACCATCATCCTTATGTATATGCTCTGTTGTTTTGCTTTATGAACTAAAAAAACAGTTTGAAAGTATTCCTTATTTTGTTGGCATAGGCTCTTAATTTCCTATTATCAATGTCTTGCATTCTTCAAGTTTTTGCATGATAATTCTAGCCTTTTAAAAGAAAATGTATTGTCAAAACTACATTATGTTTGTTTTGCAATATCAACATGTAAACGTTATGTTTCGGTAATAATACATATATGTGTGTGGGTGGGTTTATTGTGATAATTCGTGGTTAAATCGCTTTTAAACGAATAATATAGCTATACGCTACGTTCATTTCTCAGATTTTGAATGAGACGTTGGCGTGACGTTCGGTCTGCACTCGACTGGACGGCGTTGTGTATACCGGCGGGAAGAGGGGAGGGCCCACGCGCGGGCTAAAGCTCTCTCCCCACCCAGTGTCTCTCTCTCAGTGTGGCAGTCTGTCTACCTGCTGCGGACCCAGACAGGCAGGCAGTCCGGAGCCGTGGAGCTATCCCAGCAGCCAGAGCCCAGGGGCGGCCGGTGGGAGGAGGCAGAGAGTCCGCAGCAACACTCAGCCTCTTTGACAGCCGTCGGAGGAAGGAGCCACCTGCACCAACACATGTCTACGGTAAAAAAATATGTTATTTATTTTTATTTAATGTGTTCAGGATGTAAATATGTATTTTGGGAAGCAGAGAGGTGTCGTGGTACGCCGGAGCGTCTTTCTGTGGTTTTGTCGGCTGTGTGATAGGAGCCGTGGGAGTGGGCATCTCCACACCTGGGTTTGAAACATCTCCCAGCACATACCGCTGGTAAAAAAGTGTTCTTGCTTTTTTATTATTCGTTTGTTTCAGTCTTAAGGTGTGAGTTGAGTAGGGTTGGCACGAGGCTGTGCAGCCGCTTCTAATAGCAGGATGGCGGGCGGCTCAGCTCGCGCCGCTGTCAGCGTGCAGCAGCTGCAAGCAATATAACAGCCGTTAACTAACTCTGACAAAACAGGAAGTACGCGCTTTGACCTTCAAAATAAGATCAGGAGAAATAATACATATCAAATAAATATTAGATTAACAACTGAACAATATTGTAGATGCTTTTAGCTTAACCAGTTGCAGTATTAAATTGGTAAAACAAAACGTTATTTCTGATAAAAATGCCCTCACAATTGACCCGTACTCATCTCCTTGCCCAAAAAGAGGCCTTAAAAGCAATGGTGGATTCATGCCAAGTTAGTTTGCCTGGTTTTTACAACATATCAGCTTTGTTTCACATTATGGACAATAGTAGTTTACGACACTGTTGTACTAGATATTCCCCCGAAGTAGCAGTATTCTTATACCACATAAACGAAAAAAGTGTTCTATTTCATATTCATAGTGTATTGGGTTTTAACTTTAATGAGTTGTTGGTGAACATATT